CATTTCAAAGACGCAGAACAGTGTAGAGCATACTTACTGGCTGATACAACAGCACTCTTAACTGTCGGAGGGCGTAGCAAAGGCGACGGTATAGCGGGAATTTCGGGTATGCTTGAGTTTGAAGAGTGCAGATGAATCGAACAACTGCTTCTGTCCGTTAAAGTTTCCTCCTTACCATCACTACCGGTGGCTGCTTTTGACGTTGTTTCATGACCTGGTAAAGGAGTCGCCGAATTTGAGGACGCCATTGGATTCCATCAAAGACAATCAGGAAATTTACCGAGAAACAAGCCTTTTGTTGTGACAGCATTCATATCACACGCGGAAATCGGATTGCAGGTCCAATCTATTGGGATTTTTCAAGAAAATTCACGAGATCCAGTACAGTTGAAATTCATTTTGTCCGCCATTTTGTAACCGTCTCCCATAAAAGACGAGAAAGATTGGGAACAATAATAATGAACTAGATCCAGTTTTCTAGCTGGCACTCGCCTGAACATTCCCAGCAGGCCGTGCGCCTGCTTAAAGGCATAATTTCCGTTCGCTGAACACTTTGTCATTGCATTGTTAGGGTTGAATGATTCGGGATGGTTAGTAGGTGAAACCTTACATCAGAGAAAAGAAAACCAATCCATAAACGAGGTCAAAGAAGGTATCGTATATGAATGATTTTTTTATGGTTTGAATACTTGAACACAAGCGTGAGCTGGTGATTTAGCTTTCTTCCGTTCTGCAGCTGTTATAGAAAGATTCCAACAAAGGCCGAAAGGCTAAAATACGTAATATTTCGGCACATACAAGCTTATATTTAAGGGAATTTAGCTTTGTCTTGAGCTTGTCTGTTTTATAGGTAGGAGTTGTCGGTGACGCAGTTAATGAATCTCATGTGTATGACGTTGCAATTTTCAAACAAGCATGAAACAAGTTGTATGAGCTTGGTTAAGCTTACGTTTAGAGCATTTTTTCCGTCATGACGACCAAATTAACTCTTTTTTCATTGTTGAATGAGGAAATTCTAGAACCGATTCGTGTGTCTCGTAATATTTCAGTTGTTTATAATTTGAGTGTAAGAATTGCACCTGTATATGCATGCAATTTAAAGCCACTGACAGCTGAGGACGACCTTAGAATACAATTAATATTCTTCAAATTAATAGTAGAAATGGTGACTCTGACCACCATGCGGTGTTTTGTTGAAGGTCATCAGTTATGGTAAAATCAAGGTTTCTTCCCTGATCGTGTGTAGGTGTTAGCGTTTCATAGTTGTATGCTCACATCGTTTCGATGTCATTTTTTCCCTTACAGATTAGGCATGAAGATTCCACAAATAGCGATGCTTCTCCGACTTCTAATAGGTGCATTTACCATTTAATTAACTTCTTAGGTCAATTTTCACGTTATTTTTGCCTTTTTTAAAACGTGACCAAATATCGAGGATATTAAATTTTGATATATTTCTTGTACGTAAGTAAAGTGGAGTTCTGCCCACGTACAAGGAAAAGAATGATGCTGAGTCACCTAATTTAGCTATATTTGTAAACATCGCTTTTTTTCCAATAATCTTGCAAACCACTGAAATAATAGAACACATTCTTTCATGGACCAATAAGCCTCTGAACACTGATTTCATAAAATTAACAGTGATAGTTTAGTGTTCAGTTACTACATCTGATTCAGTACCAAGTTAAGATTTGTTTAGATAATAATACATGTACATGTATTTTAGGTAAGATCTCTGTTTGACCCCTTAAATTTATTATGCTTATTTTACAGGTCAAATTTGATTTCAGGTTAATTTTGATTTAACCTAGGTTGAGTCTCAATTTCCAATTATTTCTCCTAGCCCTGGAAGAAAAAGCAAATTGAGAATCAACTTAGGTAAAAAACATTTAACCTGAAATCAAATTTGACCTGTAACACATACATGTTTCGACTCTATTCATTTAAAACTATTTTGTGAGAAAAAGTATGAAATTGTTGCATGTACAATAAATGTGGGGGTTATAGGGAAATCTTACCATATTTTAAATGTATCAACTTGAATATGACAAAATCATTATAAGTTTTATATATTTATTTATTTTGTTACTTATTTATTTGTTTATTTATTTTCAGGGCTGTCTTTATTAGAGATTGTTTTTGGAGGTGAGGAACTTACACTGTAGTAACAGAACTGTAAGAGTTTGTCCCATAAAAGTATACTGCTAATATCTCCTCAGAGGAGTCCTCAATAATGGAAACATGCACTTTACATTTCTGAAAATAAATTTTTGCTCTAGGTTTAGATTTTTGTGTCAGTTTAAAAGAACTAGTTTTACATAATCTGGACAAAATAACATTCAAGACATCATGCAGATCGGCAGTCTCTGAAACAAGTTAAAGTTTTCCACTTGCTCTGTTCTTGCTTTGTCTGTGTAGACAGCCAGGGTCCATGCAGGTGGAGGGGCTGGGGTTAAAAAAGGTCCTAAACAGCCGCAAGGAGAGAACGGACAAACTTTGAAAGTGAATGAAACACGCAAAAATTATGATGCTGCTGTGAGTGGTTAAACTTTTTTTTTACTAACCCCTTTTTTTTGTTAAACTATTAAATAAAATGATTGATGAGTTGTAACTGTATCAAAAAAATATTTAGTCAGCCCCAGGTTAACCATTTTAAAAGTCCACAAACCCCTAACCCCCACACCTCCTCCACCCCGCCCCACCGCCCACCTAATTTATATGTTGGTGTTGTGTGTTAAAATTTTTTTTTACTACCCCCTTTTTTTTGTTAAACTATTAAATAAAATTATTGAAGAGTTGTAACCGTATCAAAAAAAAATTGGGTCCGCTCCAGGTTAACCATTTTAAAAGTCCACAACCCCAAAACCCCCACTCCCCCCCCCCACCCCCCCGCTCTACACTTTAAAAGAGGTGGATCGGCCCCCGCAGTAAGAAAACTGCTCCGCGGGCCCTAAAAACTCTTATGTTATCATTGCTTTCAAGAGTGTGACCACAGGGGTCTCTACCTGGAACAGGCCATACTCATTCATTTGTTTGACTGTAGATTTGTTGCATCACTCACTCACTCAATCCTTTTCATCTTTGGTGGGACAGACAAGGCCCCAGATTTGATGCAGTATGTATTACTCAGAGTAACAACTAAAAGTTCCTTGATTGTACTCCGACTTGCTCAGTACACATGTGACAAGACAGTTACATGACTGTATTCATGAATAAGGTCCACAATAGAGGAGACAAAGGAAATGAGCCCTTTGCAGCTTGTCATTCACATGGTCCAAGACTGCAATGCTGAAGAGCAAGAGATTCACTTGGACAAGACAAATAAAAGGCAGTCTGTGACAGCATGTGGCTACTGTTTTAGTTTTGTAGAATATATTGCAGTACAAAAAGGAATGTATAATCCAAAAAAAGAAAAGAAAAGACATGCAGAAGGAAAATCAAAGGGTACCTAAGGCTAACTTGTGGATTGTTAATTACTGTATTTTAGAAATGAAACCTGCAATAAGTCTAGTGGTATATTTTAAGTCTGTCAAAATATGAAAATATGTTTTACGAAAAAAACAACAACAACAACAAAATGACTAAAAAAAAAAGAAAAAAAACATTTCCAACAGCGAGAGTTGAACCCCAGACCTCTGACTTTGAAGGTTAATGTGTTATCTATTGTGCCACGACTACTACTATTGAAAATACCCGTTAAATTAATCATCTTAAACACTTTTGCCTATGAAATTCTGCCGGTCGATGCCGTTTAAGCTTTTAGAACTTTATTTATGAAGAACTGAAAGATATATTTGAGGAAAAAAATTATGGTTTTGGCAGTTAAAGCCGTAATTTGACTCATTTTGTAACATTTGAAGAACATATGGCTGACAAGTGTCTTAAAAAACCATTGCGAAGTCTCTAGCAGCATGCAATTCTCGGTGTTTACATGAGGAGAATCAATTATGATTCAGCAAAAGTAAACATTCCTGTTTTTATCGAACAAAGAAACATTTCATTTCAGAATGATATTTCCCTAAAAACCATGAGATTGGGAGCCTTGTCATGAGAAAAGTTTGAAAAAAATCATGAGACTCCTTGCAGAATTGTGAGCTTGGACCAGCTTGGGAGTCAAAGAGCAATTTTTGCTGATCTTTTCGTCATTATCGTCTGGACGAGTAAAAACGCTTCTAAAGTTCATAAACTTCTGTCTCAAAGTTGGCCATAAGGCTAATTTGAAACATTCAAAGTCCACATGAGGACAACTTATCGTCCTGTGAAAGGCACAACATCATAACATCAAAAGCTATGGGCGCAATGCATGCTCAGCACGTCTTGATTGCGGAACGGGAACGATCGATCTACGATAGTTGTTGTTTGATGCTGGGTGCTTTCGTGTTGAGCCGACTAATTATGAAGATGTCCACACCTGAGTGATGCATTTGCCTAACGTATCGCCCACAATAACTTGTTCGTTACACTAGACGTAATCCACAAGTTAAAAAGAAAAGGATACCACTACACCACTCGTAATGATTTTGTAAAGTCATTAATTTAATGCCTTTTCCATGAAACTTCCGTCGGCTAACGCCGTTCAAGATTAGTTAGTTATTAGGTTTTTGTTAATTAGAGATTAATATACTATGTACGTGTAATTTGTGATGGACCTCTTTTGACGGGCCTGAACTTCTATTAAGCAGACACTTGCTGGTACCCTGATGGTGTTTTGGAGGTTTAATAATTGTATTGAAAATGATAATTCCCTTTTCATTTTTTTCTGGTCCCACTGTCTCTCTTGCTGTTCAGCATGGCAGTTTTGTAACACACATTAATGACTACATGTAGCTGGAGTTAGGGCCTTTGTCAATCTTGTTACAAAATTAAGCGAGACTCCTTACAATGTGTAAATTACTTCTTACGCTGTTAGTGATCAAATGAGGCCATGAATGTGTGTATTGAACTATTGTTTAATATCAGAAGTTGTGAATAATATTTTCTAATTATTTACATGTATCTTGCTATCTTATGCAGCTTTTTGTGACAAGACATTTTCTAGTTTATATGGAAGAATAACATCACCAGACTATTCCAGTAGGTCAAGTTATGCCAATAACCAGAATTGCCAATTCGACATTCGAGTTAGTTCTGGGTATGTGGTCAGGCTGACATGGACCACATTTGATGTTAAGGGTGATATGCCCAACTGCTATGATGATTATGTGGAGATTTACATTGGATGCAGCCGAAAGTCCATCGGAAAATATTGCTCTGACAACAGCTACAAGCCCCATGATATCTACTCACCAGATAACTGCTTGCGTATTAAGTTTAGAAGTGACAGCTCTGGAAGTGGAAAAGGATTCGAAGCCGCATATTCTAGTATCTCCAAGTTATCTTCGGGTATGTACATGTATCTACTCCATAACTACATGTAATGGTGGAATTGGGATAAGATGGGAAACTTGACATCATACTAGATGGTATTCTGTCGGACAGTACGGAATTAATAGTAATATATCATTCATGACCGTACAAAAAATGCAAAGGATGAAAATAAGTGGTAACTCGGAGTTTCACGTGCTAAGCGATCATTTGAGTAAAAGTTCTAAAAACAGATTTCAGTTTTAAGTGGGAAATAAAAAAATTATGGATGGTTGGAGAAAATTTAAATTGGAGCTGTGAAGAACTTACTTTGGTGATGACACTTGGTAACCAGCTCAAATAGTTTATTTATGTATGTCCTTTATGTATTTACATGTAGTTGTAGTTGGGTTCATATTAATTTTTCTAGAGACCTCCTTTACGATATTTATATGATCTCATTTACCTTGTATGGAATGTCAGAGCATGCCAAAGTAATTATGAATTGCCAGCTGAGGATAGCCATATTTAAGTGACAGACGTGTAGAGATTTGTTCAATTTCTGATTTAATATTTTATTCACATCATATTGATTATTTGAGTTAGAACTGTATAAGTGAGGAATTTTATTTAAATGATAAACCTCTTTAATATTTAAGAGTGTCTGATCCAAAGGGCGCCCTTTCAGGATTGCCGTGGTTTGAGCAAAGATGTCCCCTTCAAATACCTCTTCTGAGTCATTTTGGTGCTCTTCAAATTGTGCTTTGAAAGAAAAATAAAGAAGGAAATGTAATTTCTCCAAGTGCAAAATCTTCGTAAAACAATATTTTGGTTTAAATTTCAGAGGATTAAAAGCAAAGCAAGAACCAAAATCGAGAGAATGACATACATAGAAGGCTCAATTCTCTGATGTTCCTAAGCACTAGTTTGAATATTAATGCTATAGGGGGATAGATTATGTAGATCCACTTGCTTAATTGAAAGCCCCTCTCTTAATGTGCGTTAATGCAAAGTAATGTCAAAACAAAGAAGGCTTTTGACAGCATTTTTTGGGCAACAACACAAAAAAGAAACTGCAGAAACGTCCATGGGAAATGATGAAGCTGAGCCTGAGAATGATAAATAGAGTGAACTGAAATTGAAGTTGCCAAAGTGAAACTTTCAACAGAGCTGGCTAGAGAAGTACAAATGGGCAAATGTTTTGTTCACTTTGCCAAAAATCAAATCTCAAATCAATCTCACATGAATAAACTTATTATTTTACTTTTCCTCTTCATAATGACTGTGTGTTCAATTCACTCTTGAACATATTGCATTTGTTGATAACATAACACCCGGTACGTTAGAATAAAAAAAAATATAGTGACCCCCCAAAAAACAAAATGTTCCTCTGAAAATTGTTGACTAGGACACATAGTCCCCCTAGCTGGAAATCCTAGATCAGACACTGTTTAATCTCCTTTTTGGCAGGTATGGTAAAGTGTAGGTGAAGTCCATTATCAGTGAAACCAGCTTCCAAATATGATAAGTCCAGGCTGTATTTACTTGTAGAAAGAATTAGTGAGGGGTTCAGAGTCAATCAGAATTGATGAAATTGTTTGAATCAATAATGTGCTCCTTTGTTGTATCTTGCAGCTCCCGGACTCTCTAGTAAGTATCATGCTTTATTTGCAGAAAGTTTAATATCAACTTCAACGTCAACTTCAACTTTATTCATTCACTTTCAATTTACAGTTACACGATAGCTTCCACCCGCGTATAGGAGAGCCTAATCGAGGCGGGGGAAGAGACACACAAATGGTACATGTAGATGATAGGATTCAGGGGTTTTGTCAGATGAGGAAGACAATAATAGACCAGGCTATGTTGTGACAGCAGCATTGATGTCCAGTTAATACGGGTTTCTGTGATAAACGAAGTAAAAGAAGTAGATGTGTCTATTGAGAATTGTACTATTCAGTCATGTAGGTGCTGGCTCTTAGTGAAGCATTATATCATTGATGTTTAAAAACTTTTTCCAAGCTTAAGGTTGTTTTTGACTATGGAAGCTGATAAGATTTTTAATTCCATTCCATGGAAACTACACAATGTCATGTATGTTCGGTCAAATGATTTTTTGGGGGTTGTAAAAATTTGTGGGCAATGCATTTGAATGGTTACATATATTTATAATTTATGACATTATTATTTATCTGTTTTTCATAAATTAATCACTTCTGAATTGTTTATTATTGATTCATTTCTCATTTTCTGTATTATTTTTAAGGCTTTTGCTATTCAGAGTATTTTCCTAAGACATTGTCTTCAAATTCTGGAATCATGAATTCCGGAAACTGGCCCAAAGGTTATCCATCTTTTCAAGACTGTTATTGGAAGATTGAAGTTGGAGACGACAAGAGAATTAAAATTGCTTTCATGGACTTTGATCTGGACTATGATTCTGGATGTGATGATGACAAAGTTAAAGTAAAGGGTGAGAAAATAAAAGGACAGCTTTGTTAACTGGTGTTAATAATATTAGTCGTCTTAAAAAAATAGGTGTCATATTAATTATCAGAGGGAGGGGAGGCAGGGTGCAAAGAAGTCAGTTTCATATTCTGCTGTTATATGAAATCAGAAACTCTTAAGGGGTTGAAATGTATAGCTCTCATTTGTTTGCTTTGTCCAATGCTCCTGATTATTCATTTTCGAAAGTACCATGTTTGGAAAGAAAAGAAAAGATGGCTGACCCATCAAACTTCGTAAACAACGTGACGTAATTTCTTCGAAGGACGATTTCTTGTTGAAAAGCTTCCCTTCCTCCAAAAAAAGAAAACTGAGCATTCTTTTAAACTTTCTCTTTCCATTTTTTGTCTTTTAACGGTATATTTTTAACCCTGAAATGCAGAACTCTGGTCTTAAAACCATCGCATGGTGATCGTGTGACAGCCATTTTGTTGAAAATGGATATCCTTCACTAAGGTTTCCAAACATGGCAAAAGTGAATATTCACGAGCATTGAATGCAAGTTACACGTTTGAACCCCTTGTGAGTTTCTGATGTTATACTACTACATGAGAAATTTCTGCAAACTGATTCGCTCAGAGCAGTTGTATTTCAGCGTAATTTGAAATACCTACATGTGAAAATTACAAACCTTTTGCGGGTAGTAGTATAAACAAATAATAGCATGATTTGTATGTGATATTTGGCATAAATACCACTCGCCTAACGGCTCGTGAAATTACATATAACAATTTCGAAAGATCACTCATGGTATACAAATCATGCTATTACCTATACTAACAACAAAATTTAAGACAATTCCACCCTTGAAGTTAAAATTTTTGTTCAGTGGCCATTTGGCGACCAACTCTTTGGAGGCGCCAAATTATATCAAATTATATCAAAAATTGTTATTAACAAAAGCAGTTAGCAAGTTTAACTTAAAATGCAGCACTGTTTATAAATTACTCATTTATTGTGCGAGGCATTATCTACTGATAGTCTGCGAACAAGGTTTGCAGATTCACCTTCTTGAATCAATACTGAAGCGGAATTGTAACGACAATTACCATTTCCAGTTGTCTTTAGGGCCTTCAATCCTTCTGTATAATCCTCAGTTGGTATAATATGAGAGCAGTACTTCACTTGTCCTCTGTTAATGTGTTCAAAACTTCCCAGTCGCAACTTGAAAGGCGATCGATCTACGTACCGCGTAGCCTTTGTATTTCAGTAACGCAGTTCAAGTGGCAGGGTATTCTGCAGTTACTCCCAAAAATTTATACTTGATTGATCGCCAGTTGTCGCCTGCATTAAAAAGTTAATTTCGGACCCTGCAATTTGGTGTCTATTTGCAAATCTGTAGCATATGTGTAGCGGCACCCTCCTTTGTCCGGGGGAGGGTGCGGCTTCACGTAGGGTAGCAAATCTGCATTTTACCATCTGCACAACCTAGCCCCACACTTTCTCAAAACTCAGTTCAGGCAACAACAAACAGCAGCACTTCAAAACACGAGTTTTTGCACTCATTACACGATAACTTATGAAAGCTGTTTTACAGGAAAAGTCAACACATATTCTTGTGAACGTACAATGAAAGAATACGTTCATAGTTTGTTTACTACAGAAGTAGAAAATTGAACATCCAACTGTACGCAGCTGTATTTTGAGTCGATCTGTAATTTGACAGATTTGATGCTTACAGACGGAACTGGCCGCTATTGTAATGGTGGACTTCATTCACTTTTTACAAGCTGCAGTGGTTTAAGATCTGTTTTCTAGACTTTTTCATGATCAAGAAATGCTGCAATAATGACGTTGCCGCATTTGCGAAGTTGTCGCATTTAACTTATGTACGTAGCGTGACCGATGAAAATATGTCAGTGGTAGCTCTAAATTTGGAGAAAGGTTTCTTTGCCGTAGCCACGTATTATTGGCGTTAATATTAATTTGTTGATTTGTGAAGTCCGGTGGTTTGAAGAAGGTTATAGCATCGACATTTATTACCAAATCATTTGTGCAAATGTTGGAAAAAAAAAGTGTGAAACTCAGACATATTTCATCATCGTTTACAGCTTGTTTACAACCTGCAGCAACCGATTTTGTAACAGAACTTGGTCAGATCTCTCTTAGGAACAACTTCTTTCATCCAGGAATTTAATTTTGACATTCAAGAATGCTAAAACTATCCGTTTTGTTGCTGGTTGGCACATGGTTAAATTTTCCCAGAGACTTTCTACACCAGAAATTCACACAGTTGTTGTCTTTATCTGCGCTTTGGCATCGTTGTGAAATGTAAACTGCTTTCCAGCTTTGTACTTATAATATAACTTTTAAAGCTATGGCAGTAGCAAATTGTGACGCTCAGTAATAAAATGTGGAAACCAACACTCTTTAATATTAAGTAGGGGTGGGTAAGTAAACTGTTTTGTTTTTGAGCCTTTCTAAAATCGTTGTTTGCAGATCAATAGCCTGTCTTGTGTATGGCTTGTGGTCTGGATGCCTTTTTCTATGGGTTTACCGGTATAATAAACCATAGGTTTATGACCAATCAGATTGCGCGTACTTTCTCAGTTATTTTATAAAAATTAGTAGTTACGTGATTGACTTGTAATTTTATTTGATAGTTTTGGAGTTTTTAGTTTTTGATATTTTAATTGTAAATACCATAAAAATCCAAAAATAAGGCCCTCCATGTATAACCCCCTCCAAATATTAGCCCCCCAAACTCGTAACACAATCGCATCGCTACCACAGGAAAGTCATTCATCTATTTTTGTGATGTTTAACAAATACCCTAAGGGGTTCCCAGCCGGGAAGGCGAACCAAAAAGTCTATCGTATAGTACAGTTGTGTACCTGAATTGCGTGTGCTTCTGAATCAAATAATTCTAATGATTGTTGTACCACTTGCGTGTGAATTCACCCGATTACCGTGACATCAGACGGACCTTAAACTCAACACCAGGGCCTCCATGGCCACTACCATGCATATTAGTTGGTACAACATGGGCATCCCCAGAATGTGGACAGATTTGGGAAAATCTTCACTATACAGTTAATAAAGTACCATTGACCAAGATTAGTCTGCGCGCTTCTCTTGTTGCCCACAATTTCGGTTTGAGTTTATTTTCTCTTGAGTTTTCCCTTAGACGGCCACGTTCTGTAAGCAATCACTTTGTCGTGCACCATAAGAGTGGTCCCTTACCAGAGAAATGACTGAATTGAGGACAGTTTAGTGAGAGGTTTTGTCTGTAGTAGCAAGTTAATGTGATTGCCTTTAAATGAATGAATGAATGGCGGCCATCTTGGTTTCAAATGTACTGAGGGAGTGGGGAGGAAACCGTAACCCTAATCCTCCCAAACCGCCCCCCGCCTCCTAAAGTACAGATCTGACACTCATCTAACATGGCCACCCATGACATAAAACACTTGATCTTGATGATCTTACGGAAAAATAAGGGACTGTGAACAGTCTAATAGTTTTCACAGTAACGTAAAATTAATAGTAGTGTTCCTCTTATAATATTGCATGACATTCTTGTGGGTGTTGTTTTTACAGGGGGGAGCAGTTCCAGGTCATATGATTCATCCACCACTGTTAGAAACTCAATGTGTGGTTCGAAGAGTCCATTCTTTATTACCTCATCATATGATAGAATCTGGATCAGATTTAAATCCAACAGCCGTAATCGAGACCGTGGTTTTGTTGCTGGTTATGTCCTTTACAAGGACTCAAGTAGGTCCTGCACATATGATAATAATATCACTTTTATTAGAGATTCTTTGATAGAAGAAAGGAGAACATTCTATCAGATAAAAAAGGGTGACAAATTAATGTAATGTTTGACAAGATCTTGAGAATCAGTCAGGGTTTTTGTGGTTTAGTCTTGTCCTTGATTTACAATAAGTTGTGTACATGTATGATAAGGAGTTTGACACAAAGGGAAAATTTTAAACCAGAGATTCAATTCAATTTTACGTATATTATTTTAAAGGACACAATGTTTGAATAACCTTACATTAAGTAGTTTTTCTTTCCTTACTGGTTATTGTCCCCGGGGGGGGGGGGGGGTACTTTCATAAATGGGCTTTATGGGTTTTGGCCCCGGGGAAGGGTATGTTTTTCAAGCATTTTACTTTGGGAAGGGGTATATAAATCAGGGGGTTTGGGTCTAGAATGGGGTATCATTTTTCGGGAAACTGTTCATTTGGTTGAGAATTTTTTCTAGATAGGGGATTGGTTTTTTTTTTTTTTTTTTTAATTTTTTTTGTGCCCAATCAGGAGCCAGCATTCGCTTGACCGTTTGGAAATGGTCCGGTGAGAGTCGGTACCCAGGGGCTTTTCCGCCTGTACTTGAAACTTTTGTCGCGATATTTCTCCCGGCCCGACTGACCGCGCCTGGGTCTCCGAGGATGCAACGCTACATGCCTAAAGGCATAATTTTCCGTTCGCTGAACACTTTGTCATTGCATTGTTTGGGTTGATTGATTCGGGATGGTTAGTAGGTGAAACCTTACATCAGAGAAAAGAAAACGAATCCATAAACGAGGTCAAAGAAGGTATCGTATATGAATGATTTTTTTATGGTTTGAATACTTGAACACTTGCGTGAGCTGGTGATTTAGCTTTCTTCCGTTCTGCAGCTGTTAAAGAAAGATTCCAACAAAGGCCGAAAGGCTAAAATACGTAAGATTTCAGCACATACAAGCTTATATTTAAGAGAATTTAGCTTTGTCTTCAGCTTGTCAGTTTTATAGGTAGGAGTTGTCGGTGACGCATTTAAATGAATTTCATGTGTATGACGTTGTAATTTTCAAACAAGCATGAAACAAGTTGTATGAGCTTGGTTAAGCTTACGTTTAGACAGTTTTTCCGTCATGACGACCAAATTAACTCTTTTTTTATTGTTGAATGAGGAAATTCTGGAACCGATTCGTGTGTCTTGTAATATTTCAGTTGTTTATAATCCCATTTTGAGTGTAAGAATTGCACCTGTATATATGCATGCATTTTAAAGCCACTGACAGCTGGCGACGACCTTAGAATACAATATTCTTCAAATTAATAGTAGAAATGGTGATTCTGACCACCATGCGGTGTGTTGTTGAAGGTCATCAGTTATGGTAAAATCAAGGTTTCTTCCCTGGTCGTGTGTAGGTGTTAGCGTTTCATAGTTGTATTAGTCTTACATCGTTTCGATGTCATTTTTTCCCTTACAGATTAGGCATGAAGATTCCACAAATAGCGATGCATCTCCGACTTCTAATAGGTGCATTTACCATTTAATTAACTTCTTAGGTTGATTTTCGCGTTTCTTTTTCTGTTATGGACAACACCATTGCGTTTTTTAAAACGTGACCAAATGTAAATATCGAGGATATTTGATATTTTCCTTGTACGTAAGTAAAGTGAAGTTCCGCCCACGTGCAAGGAAAAGAATGATGCTGAGTCACTGAATTTAGCTATATTTGTTAACATCGCTTTTTTTTCCAATAATCATTCAAACCACTGAAACAATAGAACACATTCTTTCATGGACCATTAAGCCTCTGAACACCTCTGAAAACTGATTTCGTAAAATTAACAGTGATAGTTTAGTGTTCGCTTACTATTTGTTTAGATAATAATACATGTACATGTATTTTAGGTTCAAGATTTCTGTACGACCGCTTACATTTATTATGCATATGTTAATTTGATTTCAGGTTAATTTTGGTTTAACCTAGGTTGATTCTCAATTTCCAATGTCTCCTAGCCCTGGAAGACATAGGAATATTAAGAGTCAACCTAGGTTAAAAATTTTTAACCTGAAATCAAATTTGACCTGTAACATATACATGTTTCGACCCTATTCATGAACTGTTTTGTGAGAAAAAGTATGAAATTGTTGCGTGCATAATAATCCTAGGGGTTATAGGGAAATCTTACCATATTTTTAACTTATCAACTTGAATATGACAACATCATCATAAGTTTTATTTACTTATTTATCGTGTTTTTTAATTTATTTGTTTATCTATTTTCAGGGCTATTTGTATTAGAGATTGTTTTTGGAGGTGAGGAACTTACATTGTAGTAAGAGAACTGTAAGCTTTTGTCCCATAAAAAGCTTACTGCTAATACCTCCTCAGAGGAGTCCTCAATAATGGAAACATGCATGTTCCATTTCTGAAAATAAATTTTTGCTCTAGGTTTAGGTTTTTGTGTCAGTGTAAAATACCTATAGTTTTACATATCTTGGACAAAGTAACATTCAAAACATCATGCAGATCGGCAGTCTCTGAAACAAATTAAAGATTTCCCCTTCCTCTGTTCTTGCTTTGTTTGTGTAAACAGTCAAACCTCCCATGAGTGACAAACCAAAATGCAAAAGGTTTACATTGTTATCATTGCTTACAAGAGTCTGACCACAGGGTGTCTTAACCTGGAACAGGCCATACTCATTCATTTGTTTGAAGATAAATTTGTTGTGTCACCCATACCCACTCACCCATCCTCATCATCTTGGCTGGGACACTAAGTAAGGCTCAAAATTTGTTACAAAATGAGTGACAACTAAAAGTTCCTTGTGTACTCTGATTTGCTCAGTACACATGTGACAGGACAGCTACATGTATTCATGAATAAGGTCCACAGTAGAGGAGATTAAAGGAAATAAGTCCCTTGCAGCTTGTCATTCACATGATTCGAAACTGCTGTGCTGGAAAGCAAGGGATTCGCTGGTGGGACAAGACAAACAAAAGGTTGACATTATAGTTGAACCTTCACTAAGTGGCCACCCTCTTTTAACTAGCAGTAACCATGGTTAGGAAGTGCAGGCAAACATGTGGGTTTACCTTAGAGATGTGATTGATGAGAACCACTTTCATAATAATGTACATGAATTTAGTTCCAGCGTCAACAAAAGGATTATTGCTGAAAGGCCCCCCTTGAACTACTGCAGATAATGTGCGTAGAAACTGAATTGAACAACACAGTAAACGATACTCAAAGTCATAGTAACTTTGATACAATGATTTTACACGTATTCATAGTTGCTTAGATACACAATTAGCTTTGAATGATCAGGAGAGAAGAGAGAAGGCTATTCGCAGTCAAAGATACAATGAAAACAGTAATGCATGACATAATGCTCAACCTGAGAAGTGTACAGTCACGAATGCTAACAGTCTTATTCTTCAATTGGGTATTCGATTCATGTTTAATGACCAAACACTGTTGATATGCAAAAGAAAATAATGGAAAAAGCTGGAAAAGCTTTGTTTACCACTGGAGTTTGAAGCTCATTGAAGCTCTTTAATAGGTGACAAGCTACGTAACATGCTTGGAAATGTAAGCTTATGAAAATACAAAAACCATGCACTTGAGTGAAACCTGAATAAACTTAATTTACATGTCTTGGATTTTTAGACTTTGCTAACACTCCTACCTTACCATAAAACCTTTGCTGCTCTATATAAGCTTAGATCAGGCTCTACTTTCATTTTCCTGGGTATTAGATTCCCGGCTGGCAAGGTGAATTGAAAAGTCTCATATTTGGTACAGTACTTGTGTACCTGAATTAGGGGTGCTTGCGAATCTAACCTGAACAGGTTATTATTGTGAATCGAACAATGATTGTTGCATCACTTGTGTGAGCATTCACATGATTACTGTGACATAAGACAGACCTTAAACTCATTAAACACCAGGGCCTTCACTGCCACATACTATGTATATTAGTCAGTGCAACACGAGTATCCCAAGAACGTGGACAGATTCGGGAAAAACCTCGCTGTAGAGTTCATAGAGTACTGCTGACCAAGAATAGGCTGTGGGCGCCTTTTGTTGCTCGCAATAATAACGACTGTGTAGTTCTCATTTTGCTGGATTTGTTATCAGCATTTGATACCGTTTATCACAATATGCCTTTGCAGAGACTGTATTATCGTCTTGGTGTTAAGAAGAAAGTATTGGACTAAAAAATGTAGAAAATCAAACTCAATTTGTTAAGATAGATGACAATGTCTTTGTGACACTCCCTTTAGACTTTGGAGTTCCTCAGGGCTCAGTTTTATGTCTGTTATTGTACTTATTATATACTGCGCTGCTGGGTGATATCCTATGCAAGTATGGCTTGTCTTTCCTTCTTTATGCAGACGACACAAAGGTGTACGTACACTTACCTACTTTTACCTGCCCAATAGTGATGAGCTTGCTTTTATCCAGTACCGTATGGAATGCTGCTTGTCAGACATTGGTAACTGGATGACCTTTCATTGTTTTCTAGTCCCACTATGTCTCTCTTGCTCTTCAGCACATTTACAGTTTTGTAACACATAAATGACTAGCTGGAAAGGGCCCATTGTCAATCTTGTTACAAATTAAAGGGGCTATGTCATGGCAGTCCAGTTCATTTTGTTTAATTTTGCAAATTACTTGCCCTCAAACGCTATGGAACATAAAGTAAGCAAAGAAATTACACGTAAAATGACAAAATCAGAGATCCGAGGCAAACAAATATGTCTCCTGAGCATTATTTTTCGAACTTGCAGTTAGGCTGAACAGTTTTCAAAAATCCTAATTTCAATCTGTTTCAGTCTTCTTCAGTTTTGCCCATCCATGGCATCTGTTGTTTCTGTTATGATATTTTAACCTTCCTTTAAAGTCTTAAGCAGTTATTTTTATGTTTCTCTTAATTTAACAGGCAATTTATAATTTCCTAATTTGGCTGAATTTCGTGACACAGCTCCTTTAACCTTATTTGATCACTAACAGTGAACAAAGTAATTTAAAAATTACTTTGTTCACTGTTAGTGATCAAATAAGGTCATGAATGTGCATAGTTGCACCATTGTTTAATATCAGGGGTCCTGAGTAATTTTTGCTAATTATTTACGTGTATACTGTTTTTTGCAGCTTCTTGTGACAAGATGTTTTCTGGTTCATCTGGAGAAATAACATCACCAGACTATTATAGTAGGACAAATTATAAAGACAGCCAGAATTGCCAATTTGACATTCGAGTTAGTTCTGGTTATGCAGTTAAGCTGACATGGACTACATTTGATGTCAAGGGTGATATGCCCAACTGCTATGATGATTACGTGGAGATTTACATTGGATGCAGCCGAAAGTCCATCGGGAGATATTGCTCTGATAACAGCTACAAACCCCATGATATCTACTCACCAGATAACTGCTTGCGTATTAAGTTTAGAAGTGATGGCTCTGGAAGTGGAAAAGGATTTTCTGCCCAATATTCTACAATGTCCAAGTCATTTTTCGGTAAATATCTATTACATGTATACAAACGCAAAGAAGTACCATATCCATGTCCGTATGAATTTAATTGTAGTTGGGTTCATATTTCTGGGGAACTCCTTTACTATATTTATATGATGCCATTTTACCTTGTATGGAATGTCAGAGCATGCCAAAGTGATAAATATGAAATCTTATTTTGTAGTAGATATTTGCTGCTGTACTTTTTTATAAGTCTTGTGCATTAAAGCTTTTTGGTTCAGGTCCTGGTAGTTTAGGATAACCATATTTAAAATGACTGATGTGTACAGATTTGTTTAATTTGATTAATATTTTATTTACATCATATTCCTTATTTCAGCTAGAACCACGCACATATAAGTAAGGAATTTTATTTTAATTATATACCTCTTATTGGCAGGTATGGTACATGTAAGTTATAGGTGAAATCCATAATCAATTAACCAGTTCTTCCAAATTTATGTCACATGCAGGCTGGTTATATTATGAAGAATTAGACAGGGGATTAGAGTCAACCAGAAATGGTGAAATCTTTGTATCGGTAATAACAATAGTTATGCCCTTTATTTTATCTTGCGGGTCCCACAGTCTTTAGTAAGTATCATGATTTACTTGCAGAAAATTATTGGTTACAGTCATTCTTCTAAGACGGACACCTTTGGGACCGACGCTAAGTGTCCGTCTTAGATAGATGTCCATCTTATAGAGAAGCAATTAAATGGAGTAAAGAAAGGCAGGGACCAACTCTAATAAGTGACTGTTTTACAGAGGTGTCTGTCTTGTAGAGGTGTCCGTTGAGAGAGAGTCGAATGTACATGTAGATGATTTAGGTGTTTTGTCAGGTGAGGAAAAGGTGGGCATTAGACCAGGTGATGTTGTGACTGGTATTGAAGTCCAATAAATGGGTCATTCCCTGATCATGGACATTACATTTGCATGAGTGTGGTTAGAGAAAAATCATTAGAACAAATACAAAACAAGACACTGTGGGAGCGTATACTTGGGCATTGTTTAATTTGGCATATTCTAATTTTTTGTGTGTGTGTGTGCTAGGGATGTGTGAGTAATGCACTAGTGTTGTATACTGGACATTGTTCGGTATGATAACTGCTGTAGTTTATGAATCATTTTAATTGGTTCGTGGTAGAACTTGATTTGAAGAATCATAAAATAGGTTTGTCAGAAGGGATTTTAGGTGTTGCAGCGAGGTTAAGTGATGCAAAACTTGTCCTTTATTCACAATGAGGACAAAATGTCTTGACCCAAATGGTTTGTTAAGATCACTGGCCGTTTCACATGCACTTCCACAAAAGTCATCTACTGCATCACCTGTATGCTATATAAAAAGATCTATTACAGGCAAAACAGGCTGGAAACTAGGTGACCATTTCCAAGAACATCTTTGAGATGTGGAAAGAAATGACAAGGACGCGTCAAAACCAGTAGCATGCCATTTTAATCTTCCAAATCATTCAAGTCCAAATATGGCAATCTGTGGTCTCTCTCTTCACTAAGGCAACATAGGGAGCCGCAAGAATCAACTTATGTTAATTTGCAAAATGAAATGAAACAATGATATTTTACTGTAATTTGTGAAACGAAACGAAGCAAACAATCTTTGACTACACACAGAAAAAAAGACTTGCTAGATTCTAAGTAAGTTACTGTTGGACAGCACTTTTCTTTTGCAATCTAATCACCGTGGCCATTTTGTTTCGTTAAATACTAACGGAGGCTCAGTTGGTAATCGACGAAACAATGCTCTCAAATTCTTTTCATTAAAGGCCTTTTTCTGAAGTATGGTCTGTCAGATAAAGCGGACATTGCTTTGTCAAATGGGGTAAATATATATATATTTTTGGTCAAGATAGTCTTCTTGTTGCGCTAAATACCAATGTCAGAGGCTTATTTGGTAATTCACGAAACAATGCTCCTAAATATTTTACATAACAGGCTTGTTCTGAAATATGCCCTATCAGAACAAGCAACCAAGAACAATAATCTTATGATCCTCGATCCTCCTTTATTTAGAAAACAACAGTTACTATTTTGTTTGCTTTGCTGTAAGCATCAATCGTGGAAAGAAAACTGTTCACGATCTTATATAAGGGAGAGAAGACTTGCTTGATCTTGATCTTTGTCAATTACTAAGCCTCCGGTGTTAGTGTTTAGTGAAACAAGACTGCTATCGTGACCAAAATGTTAGGAGCAGAAGAACATTTTTACCGTTTGATACAGCAATGTCTGCTTTATCTGACAGGGCATATTTCAGAACAAGCCCTTTTATGAAAAGAATTAGGGAGCATTGCCCCCTTTGGCATTTAGCAAAAACAAAATGGCCACGGTGATTAGATTGCAAATGAAATGTGCTGCCCAACTTGGACTTACTTAGAATCTAGCAAGTCGTTTTACTCTTTGTGGTCTAAGATTGTTTCGTTTTGCAAATTACCTTAAGCTGCAAGAATCTAAATGTGCTGCCCAACTTAGACTTACTTAGAATCTAGCAAGTCTTTTTACTGTTTGTGGTCTAAGATTGTTTCGTTTTGCAAATTACCTTATTAAGCTGCAAGAATCTAGACCATGCTTCAGTTGTTCAAAAGATGGATAGCCCTATCCACTGGATAAGTCACTGTCCAGTGGAGAAGTGTTAGGGGAAGCCAATTGTGCGATCCAGTGGATAGAAATTTACCCAGTGGATAGCATTATCCACCTTTTGAACGAACCTTTCAAATAGGTTTGGTAGGTTTTGGATAGGTTTGACACTTGGTTTATTAAATAAATTAGAGTATCTTTCAGTTCCACATTATTCTCAAATTTTAGACACTGTAAGCAATTTGGAAGTTTCCACAGAGCTATATTGACCATTTGATATGTTTCCTTTATAAGATGAAATAACTTACACTAGACATTTTTGTTGACTATTGTATTATTATTATTAATAATGTTGTCCTTATAATAATTCACTGTTGTCTCCGATAAGATTCTAAGCGCTCTCTTCAACTCCATAATAATATTCAGCAATGCTGAATTTACGTTATTATTGTTGTACAACAAATTAATATAAGAACCAGGCTTTCTTGGCAATTATTAAAGAGCTTCCTGCATTTATTGTTGTCATGATGTAGCATCCATGAAAGTAACATCCATGAAGTATGATAGATTTAACATCAGTTTTTTTTTGCGTCCTTTTGGAACTGATTGGTTTTGTTGTCACAGATGTATATATGTTACTTGGTCAAATAAAAAAGCATCTTTGTTATTTTTGGTATTGGGCTTAGACTAAAGCTGTGAGAGAAAAAAATTCCTTTAAATTTCATGGACGTTATGTGACGTCCATGTCAATAGTTTTTTCAGTTACTGATTTCTCCGAAAAAATGTAATTTGAAAATACTGTGGTTTTTAATGGAGAGCTATGGTTAAACTAAATACTTCATGTTACATTTGATCTTCATTGAACTCAGTTGTTTGAATTGTGGTTAAAAGATTATTGCATTCATTATTACCGGAATATGAGTCTTTTGGTAGTTGCTTACTTTGGTCACCCACTTCAGTATCGAATGGTGGATCTGCACTTATGTCCTGATGATTTTTGAAACTTCAGTCCTCTATTGGCCATGCCCTTAAAATCCCCAAGTAGTTTATTTCAAAAATGGAGTGGACCAATTATACATTTTGTATGATCAGAGAAGTAAAGGATTAAGTAGATGTGTCTGTTGAGAATTGTACTAAGTGCTGGTTCTTGGTAAAACAAATAATTATCACTGATGTTTAAAAACTTGTTTCCAAGGTTGGTTTTGACTATGGAATCTCATGGAGGTTTCTTATTCCAGTTCATGGAAACAGTGCAATGTCATGTGCATGTTTGATCAAAATGATTAGTTTTGGGGGTTTTAAAATTAATATGTGGGCAATCCATTTGAATGGTTACATATCTTAAAGATTCTCTGTTTATGATAAATTGATTACTTCTGAATTGTTTATTTATTGATTTATTTATCATTTTTGTATTATTTTTCAGGTTTTTGCTCTCCAGAGTATAATCCTCACACAATGTATTCAAATTCTGGAATCATAAATTCCAAATTTTGGCCCCAAAGTTATCTATCTTATCAAGACTGTTATTGGAAGATTGACGTTGGAGACAACAAGGCAATTAAAATTGCTTTCATGGACTTTGATCTGGAGTTTGATTATAGATGTGATAATGACAAAGTCAAAGTAAAAGGTGAGAAAAGGACACCTTTGTATTAACTGGTATTAATTATAATAGAAGAGAGGTGTCATTTTAATGGTTGCTTTATTTTTATTAGGAGGAGGGGGCAGGGTGCAAAGAAAATCATTTTTACAGCTTGTCATTCGGGCAAGCTGAAGCTATCATTTACTAGCCCAGACGTCATTTCAATTAGTCCCAAAAGCTTTTTGATGAGCAGAATTGATTTCACAGTTCTTCTGTTATTTGAATTCCTCAAAAAACATCACTTGCCTGTTGGGCAAGTTAAAAACAGAATTCACTAGCCCGTTAGCAAAATCCACTAACCCTGGGCTATCGGACACTCCTTGCTATGCATGCTGATGGGGGGCAGGGTCAGAAAAGAAGTCAGTTTCACAGGTACAGCTTACCCAAAAGGTAAGCTGTACAATGCAGCAAATGCAGCAAAACCTGAGAGTTGTTTTAACTAGGCCCCCCCCCACTGCCCCCCAAAGCTTTGTTCCTGCGTTGTGTAAGGTCTCTATTGATCACCTATTTGATAACCTTGAGTCCGGAAAAATAAATTATTTCTATTATTGTTTTGGAAAAAGTCTTGATTTTTGGATCCCAAAATATGTATGAAATCTTGATTTGACACTCATCTAAGGTGGCCGCCTGTGACGCAAAGCACTCGATCTTGACAATCTTATCGAAAAATAAGGGACTGTGGACAGTCTAATGTTTCACAGTAACAATTAATGGTAGTGTTCATTGTACTTTTGGGTATTTGTTTTTCAGGGGGGAGCAGTTCCAGATCATATGGTTCATCCAACACTGTTAAAAGCTCAATGTGTGGTTCAAAGAGTCCATTCTACTTCACCTCATCATATGATAAAATCTGGATCAGATTTAAATCCGACAGCAGTAAACAATACCGTGGTTTTGTTGCTGGTTATGTCCTTTACAACTCAAGTAGGTCCCACAAATACGATAATAATGTCACTTTTAAATAGAGGGTGGCAATGTGACCAAACGTTTGACAAGACCTTGGAAAATTTTAAACCAGAGATTATGCAATTCACATATACATGTACAATGCAACCCTTCAATTTTACCTTTACTTAAAGGACACAATACTTGAGTAACCTTACATTAGTTTTTCTTTCCTTACTGGCCCTTAAGCCTTGAAGGCTTGTCACAATCATTGTGTTTTCTTTATCCTTTATTGTTTAAAGCCGTTTAATTGAGTCAAATCATTGACACTTTGACTTTATCTAAGGGCTGTCCATGATTAATATACCAAAATTGTGTTGCTGTTTTTTTTAAATGAAATTTGGTGGGGATGGTTGTTGAGATAAAAATAATGCTCTTGTCGGACCAAAAAGGTGCAATCTATTTGGTCAATTTTGTGGTATTAAAATTTTGCCCAGAATCCTGTGATGTTTTTCCTGTAATGCACAGTAATTTTAATTAGGTGTTGGGGTCATGTCTTGTGCACAAGATAAACACACAGATAGATAGATGAAAAGCAAGAAAAATATGGAATTCTATTACAGCAAAATATCCTTCATCACCAACAGTTTCTTTTTTTTTGACATTTGCTGTTATTCACTGCCTTGTTTTGATAACGATGCAAAATAAATTGTTCCATAAATTGGGGGAGGGTGGTAGCCCTGCTCACAGTAGCCCTGATCACTGCCGTTTGCCAAGTATGAATGTTTTTGGCCTTGTGGAACTTGGTCGAAAGCAGCTGGTTTTCCCAGGCAATAATTTTTACTCTGGCATATTTGATAGAGTGACCTGTGAGCTTAGTATGTTAGGACACAGCAGACGTTCATACTCGGCTTTTATAGTTGTTGGTGATGAATATTTGGCTGTAATATCATATCCCAGTGGCCGAACCAAATCTTTATTTTTTTTATTATCATTGTGATTGTTATTATCATTATCAGTATCGTTATCATTTTTCAGTATCAGTATCAGTATCAGTATTATTATTATTATTATTATTATTATTATTATTATTATTATTAGATTCTAGCATCTCAGGCTTAAAGGGTTTACATTGCCTCGTCAATTATGCTTGGGAGCATAGCATTAAGCAGCCCTTACTTGAGTCCCGAAATGGACAAAACTTTCCGTAATAGCCCAGCTGTTCCTCACAGAGCGGTTTTGTGGATCACTTCTATTCTGTTGGTAAAATTAAGCTTTCCCATGTATTCCTCAAACATATCGGATACAGCTACCGATGTTCCGTTCACAATTGGAACAACTGTCACTTTCGTCAGCTTCCACAACTTTCCTATCTCTTCGCAATGAAGTTGGTACTTCTCTGTTTTCTCCAGTTTTTTGTCTTTTACTTGTACATCTCCACAGATAGCATGTTGATTATCTTGGCCTCCGTTGCCAAAGATGATGTCTGGCCTTCTAGCTTCATCCATCCTATCACACTGTACATTGAAATCCCACAGAACTTTAAAACCCGTATTTTTTACCACTTGTAAATGTTTGTACCACCGATCTGCCCATTCCAGTTTGGCCTTCCCACACAGTTTCCAATGCACAAACCGTGATTATTCTTGTTATCATTGTCATTATTATGATTATTATTATTATATTCTCGTCAAGTTTTCCTGCTCTCCATCCCTTGTAGCTGGATTCAAGCAGTGTACCTGGGACGTTATAGGGGAAGAAGTCACTTGAGCAACAGTACTTTCCTTTGTATGTGGGCTGTTCCAATCATTGTGATTTCCTGGATTTAATTGGTGCTAATGTTACCCGGGATTCTACTAATGACGTTGTCTAGTCTCTTCTTAGTAAGCCCTAGGGCTCCAACGACCACTGGTATTGTTTCTGTTTTCATACCCCACATCCTATTGACTTCAATTTCCAAATCTTTATACTTGGACAACTTCTCTGTGAATTTTGCTGAGGTGTTACTTTCAGATGAAACTGATATGTCAGTGAGCATGCACCTTCTTTCTTTCTTGTCTTTGACCACAATGTCGGATCTGTTGGCTTTTATTTCCCTGTCGGTGTGCAGAGGCATATCCCAGTGTGTTGTGACCTCGCTCTTATCGGTTACTGTTGTTGGCTGGTGTTCATACCACTTCTCAGTTGTATCGATTTCATAACCTCTGCAGATCTTCCAATGAATGTCTGCTGCTGTCTTGTTATGCTGATAAATGTACTCTGTTTTCGCTAATACAGGGCACCCCGAGACAATGTGATCAATAGACTCTTCAGATATTCCGCAGATCCTGCAGTGAGAGCGGATAAGTGATAAGAGCAGGTAGCTAGGCTCAAATCTTGTGCTTCAATCATAAGGCCTTCGGTTTCACCTTTGAGACCGGTACCTCTTAACCATTGATTTGTTTTCATGTTGATCTACATCAGTGTCTTTCAACCTTTTAGGGTACTTTGTGCGCATCATCTTTTCCTCCCAAGATTCTTGTAGTTTTTGCTGGCCATGGTGTTTTGCCATTTTCTCTAATCGTTTCTTGTAAGTGGTTACCACCTCAGTTTCATCTTTTGAGATTTCTGGTATACTAAGCTCTTTGCAAAATTTTGCTGCTTTCCTTTGTTACGGAGTAAAGTTTCTTTCTCTGTTCATGGTATTTTACTATTTGGAGGAGGGGGTCATTGTTACCAGTCAAGTATGCATTCAGCCCTATGGTGGTGGTTTTAAGGGACAATTTGAGCTGGAAAAGGCCGCGTCCTCCAGATGTTCTTGGAAGGTAAAGCCTGTCAACATCTGATTTGGGATGATGCATCTTTGAAGTGGTCAGCATCTTTCTTGTTTTAGCATCCATTCTTATATCACTCAGTTTCCAGTTGATGATGTTGAAGCTGTATGTTTCAACAGGAATAGCTAAGGTGTTGATAGCTTCAAATTTGTTAGCTGCGTTAAGTTCAGTCTTCAATACGATATGTTCTCTTGTGTAATATTCTTTCCTTATCTTCTCTTTTATGGTTGAGTGTTGCATGCCATCTCCTTCATTGGCGCCTAAGTACTTGTGCTTCTCGTGCTCAAGCTCTTCAATTACAGTGTCCACGTCAAGATGCAGATCTGTGGTTTTGGACAGTCTCCCTCTCTTAAAAGTGGCTTTTGCACACTTGTCAAGACCAAATTCCGTCTTGATGTCGTTGCTTGTCATGTCGTGCTTAAAGGCGCTAGAGCATGACAGAAAAGTAGTGGTGATATTGAATCCCTTGGAAGATCCCATTTCTTATATTTATTGGTCTTGATTTTAGTGTTCCAGCTGCGTGTTGAAGAATAGCTTCATGCTTTCAGTAACAAATTTGATTGTTGTGGGATAGATTCTATAGATCTCGTGGCCCTTCTTTATCCAGGAGTGGGGAACACTATCAAAGGCCTTCTAGTAGTCTATCCAGGCTGTGGATAAGTTCTTCCTCTTTGATGTAGCCTCTTCCAATATGGCTTTATTGATCAGAAGCTGGTCTTTGCATCCATAGCTTCCCCTTCTATAGCCCTTCTGCTCTGCAGGTAACAGACCATTGTCAAGGGAGTTGTAACTCCTCTCAGCGATAATGGAGGTATTAGACTTATTATTATTTATTATTATGAACTGAGGTTTCTGGAGGTAGAACTGCTTTGCGTGGTGTGTAAAGACGTTTAAGTCGAACCACTCTTGCAAGACAAAAGAGGCAGAGGTGCGAGGGTTTGCCACCCAAAGAAACATGGAACCAGACCAGATACTCAGGCAGCTCGAAACTGCAAGGAAGTGTCAGTATACTAGCCAAGTGTTAGAAGTAGAACAAGTTACATTCGCGCCATTAGTTTTCAGCACGACTGGTGGAATGTAAACGATACCATAGTAGGCTTGCCGAGCTAGTTGCTACAAAGAAGCGCGAAAGCTATGCGACTACCATGTCATGGATTCGGGCATCCTTGGAGACCCATGGGCAGATAGTAGGGGCGAGGGAAAGTCTAAACAGGCGGAGAAATATGGCACAAAAGAAAAGTAAAGAACGGCCAGAAGAGCCCCTGGGGGCAATGTCTTACCAGGCTAGTTCCAAACGGTCGCTGCCGTTCTGGCTTCTGATTGGTGCTAGAAAACTGTGTTTTTCCATTTACCCTGCTGATATTAGCTATGCTTTGTTTACGAAGCTCACGCGAGTGTCTAGAATAGTCCAGTTAGAACTGTCAGACATGAATTTAGATACAGTAAATCCTCGATCCTCTTAATTGAATGGAATGTTTTTTTAATTGAGATAATTTTGTTTAATTGAGATGAATTTTTAAATGGAAATTAAGGGTTTTTAGTGCTTTGACTGAATAGTTTTTTAACCGAAATTAATTGTAAATAGGATTTTATAGTTAGTTTGTTATCAATAAAAGATTATTTTTTATTATTAAATTATTATTGGTATTATTATTATTATTACCATCCGCTACATCAACAACTGCCTTCCTACATGTAAGCATATGGCAAGACGGGAATTATCACAAAGTGGTGATTGCTCTTTTTGCCTTAATCCTGAATCACTCCTTTATGTTGTCGCTGGTTGTCAACAGTACCGTGATCGCTTCACCTGGAGACATGACTCAATCCTTAACTTCATTGTCAAGTCACTTCAACCCATAATTAATGTTCACTCTTCATTCTATGCTGATGTTAATGGTTTTCTGAATCCTTCAATAATAACTGGTGAAAATTATCGTCCAGATCTTCTTTTCCTAATTCATTCCAAGTGCCTTTATGTTCTATAATTAACAGTTGGTTTCGAGCTTAACCTTAATAACAGTGCAGTGAGTAAAAAAGAAAAATACATGAACTTGATCAAAGAAATGAGCAGAAATTACAAATGTGTGAAATTTGTAAACCTCTCCATGAGCCCCCTTAGTGTTTTCTGCGACAAATGCTCCACACTCTTACACATTATGAATGACATTGGTATTGACAAAAAGCAGCAACATTATATAATCAAAAAATGATGAATATAGACATTACAGCAGCATAATTACATCTTTTGTTGGAGAAATAGGAATTGGGATAGCCCAGACTTAATGGAATTTTAATTTTTGAATATTCAATCTCAAGCCGCCGATGGTAAATTGCCTATACGTAGCGAGATTTACATTTGTAAATTCCAAAAGACAAATAAAGTTTCCTTTATTATTATTATTATTATTATTATTATTTGAATTGCAAAGGGATTTTGCCAGAATTTTGTATTGAGATTGACTTTTTCTTTTTATGAATACTTTACTGAAGTTTTGTGTGCGGCTTTTTATAAGATCTTTTAAAATAAAGTAATAAATTTCCTTATTATTATTGTTATACTACATGAGAAATTTCTGCAATTTGATTGGCTTAGATCAGTGGTATTTCAGCTAAATTTGAAGTACCTACATGTGATAATTACAAACCTTTTGTGGGAATTAAGTTTTATAAACAAATAATAGCCTGATTTGTACGTGATATTTGGCATAAATACCACTGGTGATATTTCAAAATTGTCTCAAATTTCACTCGCCTAACGGATTGTGAAATTACGTATAACAATTTCGAAATATCACTCTAGGTATTTATGCCAAATATCAGTACAAATCATGCTGTTACCATGTCTCACGCCCCTTGGTGGCCTTGCCTCCCAAAGTGTTAAGCAGAAGCTCTATCCTGTAGCCTCAGGTGTCTGATCATCTTGTGTTCTTGGATATGAGTCAGATGACATGGTTTGTTTAATTCTTACATTTCATATAATATCATATAACTTTGTCCTCTTTTAAACAGAAAGCAGCTCCACCACTAGCACTATAGCTGGCATTGTTGTTGGGATCATAGTTCTGGCGGTTATTGCTGGCTGTATTTACTACGTGTTTGTGTACCGAAGGAGACTTGCCAAGCGTCAGGCTGCAGCAGGACAACATGCAATGACTGCACAAGTTCAAGTGCCTCCTCCACAAGTTGGGGTACATCACCCACCCCCACCCTCTCAACCTGGTTATGGACCACCCCCTCCTGCAGGATATAGTGCACCCCCTCCCCCTGGCACTGTACCACCTCCAGGATATGCCCCACCCCCTTACAGCCAGGTTGTGGCTGCACCTTACCCTCAGCAAGGTCAGTTGTGTTACAAAATTATTATTATTGTTTATTAATTGATTAATTATTAATTATGAATGAATTAATAATGAAGGAGTATATTTGCCAAGAATTACTACTAGTGAAGATTCAAGACAACGAAATGAAACTTAGTTTAGCATTACAATTTCACTACATTTCCTTGCACAAGTTACATGGCAACTGTTTCAGAGTTTCTTTGCCTATGGACAGCTAAAGATCAGAAGTGAGCGGGTTGTATTCCAGACAAAATCCTAGCAATTCATTGTACTTTGCACCTACAAAGTTTTCTGTTAAAAAACCAAGCAGATTTGAATCAAATCAAATCAAATCAACTTTATTGGTACATCCAATTAAAATGGGTTTTCACATACCAATTACAATAAAATCTAATATGAACAATAGAAATTCAATATAAACATTTGAAAGTGAAAAAACATTACCCTACTATTTAAAAAAAATATAAAATATGCATAATTACACCTATTGAGTGTCAATGGCTTAAAAACTCGTCAAGGGCACGTCCTTTAATCGCATTCTTAAAAACATTAAATGACTCTATGTTTGCTAAACTTTCTGGAAGGTCATTCCAGAGCTGAGCAGCCCTATATGAGAAAGATCGCTGACCTGTTGCTGATCTAAAAGATGGTACATGAAGTTTATCTTTATTCCTAGTATTTCTAGTATGCATCTGCCTTCTTGTCGAAAACTTATTACACAAGGATGGTGGGGCTAATCCCTTTATACATTTGAAAGCCATTAAAATGTCTCTAACCTCCAGTTGCTTAGCAACCGGCAACCAGTGGAGTTCCTTTAACATCGGCGTGATGTGCTCATACTTTCTTGTGCCAGTCACAATCCGTGCCGCAAAATTCTGAACTTTTTGAAGCCTAGCAATGTTCTTTTTTGTTGTACTAGACCACATGGACGAACAATAGAAAATCTTGCTGAACACTAATGAATTTATGATGGTTATGAGCGTAGACCTATCAAACAAATGTTTCACACGATTGATTTGGCACAGGCTACCTGTACACTTAGATACAACATCGGTCACATGTTCGTCAAAACTAAGGCGCGAGTCCACGATGACCCCCAAATCTTTTGCAGAACGAGACGGTAGAATCTCCTTACCGAGTAGCGTAACTCCAAAACCCTCCGGCACACGAGCTAACATCTGCGGGGTTCCAAGAAGCAATAACTTAGTCTTATCTGGATTTATCAGCAAGCTGTGTGTGCAACACCAGGCGGCAATCCGTTGCAAATCTTCGGATAAATGTTCCACAGCCATGGCTGTCTCCTGGACAGGAAACGAGAGATAGAGCTGGGAATCATCCACGTAACTCTTTAGTGAGCACAGGTTAGGGACAGCTGGAAGATCGTTGATGTATATATTAAAAAGGGCTGGTCCCAAGATCGACCCTTGAGGTACACCATAAGCTACCTGGCGAGGATCTGACACCTCACAACCAATCCTCACCCGCTGATTCCTGTCCGTCAGATAGCTTCTAAACCATTCCATGGCCTGTATAGACACACCCAGTTCTCGAAGTTTACGTAATAGGATCCCATGCTCGATACTGTCAAAGGCCTTTGACAAGTCCAACAGAACCAACGCTGTGACTTGTTTTCGATCCATTGCTTCGAGAATCATATCGGACATGAAAATATGGAGTGTTTCTGTCGAGTGCTTCTTCTTGTTTCCATTTTGATGTTCAGTTAAACAGTTCTGACGTGTTGTGTACTCCGTTAACTGATTAAGAGCTGCTCGTTCGCAGATCTTAGACAGAGCGGGTAGCAGTGATACTGGCCGGTTGTTATTAGCAACCTCATGATCTCCTTCCTTTAATACCGGTATCACCACGGACTCTTTCCAAGCAGATGGAAAAACTGACGTTAAAAGCGATCTATTTATAAGCTCTGTCAGGTTAAACAAAACAAAACTTCCCTTAAGTCAACAAAACTTCCCTTAAGTCAGTTTGTCGTCAAAAGTGAAAGGAAAGTGAATTTTATCAGACCACAGTGGGGGGAGCATTTTAAATTGAAGAATTTCGCTAACAACTAAAATACACTGTGCCAAGCTTTTCACCCATGGAGAGTTGGAAATTGTCAAGGAACAGTGAGGTTTAAAGCGGGGGAAAAGAAAAGAACAGAAAATTAAAGACAAAACTTAGTATTAGAAATGTTCCATTGTATCTGTGTATTAGAGCTATCTTAATGACAGGTATGGTAAGGAATTTTTAGCCAATGCTTTCCCATCGCATATCGTGAATATCCCACCCTTTAGTGTGTTTTTTCTTTGTGTACACATTGCTTAGAGGCTTGTTAATTTACGTGTACCCAGTATTCCTTTACAAACAGTAGGATCTATAGACTTTTCAAAAGTTCGTTTTGATTGGGTCATGGATCAGGAGTGAAAGTGGTCTACTTTCAAGGGTTTTGCACTTGTTCTTGTGACTCAGTCGACTTTTGGGCAAGTCTCTATGATCTAGTATGTTTCCTATATAATTTTATCACCATCTGTAGGTGAAGGGGGAAAACGTGCGCAGCTATAGTCTCTCACGTGGTACAAAACCTCCATGCTGAAGAGCAAGACGCACTGGGAAAAGACAAACAAAAGAAATTACTATTTTAAATGATTTAAGACTTTTGTTTTTCTTGTCCCGGCTTTTCCCTTGTACTCCAGCATGGCAGTGTTGTACCACCTGATACTAGCTGCAAAGGACTTATAGATAATTGGAGAAGGGGACATCGCATTGCAAAATCATTATGTGGAAACATTGGAGAAGAGAATAGTTAGTAAAGGTTTCGTGATATGATTGCGTTTTGTCTTGACTAATCATATGTTTATATTTAAAGATAAAACTGGACAATACCCTCCGCCGCAGGGTGGGCCAGCACCCTACCCAGTTCAGCAGACTGCAGGAGCCCCACCCTACCTCCCTGGCCAGCCACTAGCAGTGGCTCCTTATCCACCAGAGCAGCCAGGAGGTGCACCAGGCTACCCTACAGCTCCACCAGCGGGTGTCGCACCTTACCCAGCAGTGGCACCTGGAGGTACTACCCCCTACCCCTCAGCAGCACCTGGAGGCTCTGCACCCTACCCCACTGCACCACCATGAAATGAACCATATCCCACAAAGCAATAGGCTATCAGGTGAGGGATTGACCTTTGTCATGTTGTTAGCTTTTTCTTTTTTGTTGTTGTTTTAATTTTTCGAAAGTCATAAAGGTATATAGAGAGGGGATCATCGCAGGCTGTATTTAGATCTGTCTCTCTCTCTTTGGCGGCTTTGCTACCCTGGGAGCCAGAAACTTTTCTAGCGCAGTTTCCGGTTTCTGTCAAGTCTTTATACCTCTGGTAACCATAACTCTGGCTTTGCCCACAAGAGACGAGATCTGGATACGACATTACCGCCTCGTCCCTTAAAAATGGAGGTGACCGAGACAAACAATGCGATGATGTGGAGTCTGACTTTATAGAAAGGAAAACGAATGGAATCTCGGTAGTTATAGTCAAATGTTGTTATTGCGAACACCCTTTCTGATTAATGCATGCTGTCTTATTTTGCAGGCGTCGGAATATTTTAGACATCTGAGGCCGATGTTCATAAAGCCGTAGGAAAGGTCATTCCACGCGTCACTTGCTGCTTCAATTGAATAATTAATAGATTGGTTTGTACCCTGCAGGTTAGGTTTTACATTGCTGTTAAAGGCACCTCGTCTCAGCGGACATATCGCGGGCTCTCCATTCGATGGAAAATTCCGGAAAAGTTTAAGTTTTTAATGACAAATTCCGTAATTTATCAGCTAACTTTGGTTTGGCTGTTCAATAAGTAGAAAAGACAGCTTGGAATTAACTTTAACTTTAATTCCAGAAAAATACATAAGAACAACCAAAGCCGGGGGCTTAAATGGTCTAAGGTCAACAGAAAACGTGAAGGATTTACATGAATAAAAGAAGGCTTTAACACAGACCGCTGACCCCCCTGGTCAACTTTGTCATCTTCTATGTTTATCAGACTTCATGCTCAGTAATTTATTTTTTCCTATACGCATAATTCTCACATAGTCTTTGAGAGACATCTTTAATGTTGTCATATCAATCATANTGGAGGTGACCGAGACAAACAATGCGATGATGTGGAGTCTGACTTTATAGAAGGGAAAACGAATGGAATCTCGGTAGTTATAGTCAAATGTTGTTATTGCGAACACCCTTTCTGATTAATGCATGCTGTCTTATTTTGCAGGTGTCGGAATATTTCAGACATCTGAGGCCGATGTTCATAAAGCCGTAGGGAAGGTCATTCCACGCGTCACTTGCTGCTTCAATTGGATAATTAATAGATTGGTTTGTACCCTGCAGGTTAGGTTTTACATTGCTGTTAAAGGCACCTCGTCTCAGCGGACATATCGCGGGCTCTCCATTCGATGGAAAATTCCGGAAAAGTTTAAGTTTTTAATGACAAATTCCGTAATTTATCAGCTAACTTTGGTTTGGCTGTTCAATAAGTAGAAAAAACAGCTTGGTATTAACTTTAGCTTTAATTCCAGAAAAATACATAAGAACAACCAAAGCCGGGGGCTTAAATGGCCGAAGGTCAACAGAAAACGTGAAGGATTTACATGAATAAAAGAAGGCTTTAACACAGACCGCTGACCCCCATAGTCAACATTGTCATCTTCTATGTTTATCAGACTTCATGCTCAGTAATTTATTTTTTCCTATACGCATAATTCTCACATAGTCTTTGAAAGACATCTTTAATGTTGTCATATCAATCATAAAATATTTGGACAATTTCATACTTTATGTGATGACTCGACGCTTATTTGTCATTTGACCAAAATTGGAAGAAACTTAATTTTTTTAAAACCAAAATAACACAAAGTCGGCGAGACGTCACAAATCAGATGCCTCATTATCGATACTAATAGCAAACCTTTTAGAAAGTGTCACCTTTATCCTGAAACGGGGATACCATCACGTAAGACGTGTAAAGTTAAATTAATGCACTGTATTAAAAAGAAAAAATGTCCTAGAATAGATAAAAGTTGATCATTGTTCTTTACAGTTTTTCTAGAATAACAAGGGAAAGACATTTTTATAGGGAAAACGTATATTGTTCAGTTTGCCTCTGTGTTTTACCTATTTGCTGTACATTTAAACGTCACCCACCATAGATGTGGTAAATAAAAAAGAAAAGAAAGCATTCGTTTTAAATTGTATTATTGTTCAGATTCGCTAGCGGCACTTTGCAAAAAGTGGCTGTCATTTTGATTTTACTCAAGGAGCAACTTTTGAGCAACTTTCAAGAAAAGTCAAGCACTTTCGGGCAACTTTTAAGAAACTTTGGAGCAACTTGTTGCTGAGGCTAACGTGGGAGAAAAATTCTTACACAAACCTAATCACCCATACCCGCCTCAAAAGTCAAATGGTCGGCCCCTAAAATTCCTTCTACGTTTCATAACATAGTGTGGGAAAGCCAGGCCGCCATCGTCATGAACTGCTTTGTGGAATAAGGTCAACCGCGAGATTGTTCCTCGTTCCTTCAGTGGTATCCAGTTTAACTCATTCAAGAGGTTGATAACTGTTTCTGGTTCCCGCTTATAGCAGTTTTTAACAAACCGTGCCGCTCTCCACTGTATTCCCTCTATTTGTTCGAGAGCCAGCGTTTTCCACGTGGAGCCTAACCGGAGGTCAGGCTCTATTTTCGTTTCGCTTCGAAAATTACATTCCGGTGGGCAAGGCGAAACGAAAAGATAGCCGTTAGAACCGCTAAAATTAGGCCTGAGATCAGGGGCGCTTTCCATTTAGTCAAAATTTCCGGAGTTTCCGGTTCAGCGGTAAATGGAACTCGTTTCGTCGGCTCGTCCCACTGGAAAATTCCCAGAAGAAGTGGAAAATCTTAAAAGGTGGGCCCGTTTTCACGGTTGGAATTTCCGAACGGAATGTCGAGTTCCATTTACGTTCATCGTAGTTTGTACCAGTTCCAGGTCCACGGTCGGGCACCGCGACGTACCGGGGTTTACGACCAAATGGAACAACTTTTTACCAATCGGAAATTCCACTTTTGCTCCCACCGAAATTTCCGGGTTTTTTCCTAAATGGAAAGCGCCCTAGAGGTTAACCACCTTTCCCGGGTCCTTTCCCGCTGTTTTTGTTTTGTTTTCACTGAAACCGCTGGACGACACAACTGGTGAGGTCATTGTTATCTGAGGTCTTGGCTCTTGTGCGCTTGCCTAAATCAGTTTCCGTCACACTCACTGGTTAGCATTGGTTTGGGATGGTTCGTTAAAATCTTACACCAAAGAAAGCGAAGAGAACAACGAAGGTATGGTAAACGCGTGTAGTATATGGCAGAGGTATTTAACAGAACGCCGAATGACTCCGAATGCCTCTGATTTAGTGTTTGTAGGAAACTAAGTATGTCAGGTTCCATTTACAGGCGCATTTAGGAACTGACCTGAAACTTGATTCACTCAATTTTGTAACCGTACTCCTTTAATTACTAAACTTCAGTGTCATTCGGCGTTCTGCATTTCATGATTTTGCGTTCCTCCTCGCGAAACGTCCCTCAGCGGCGATGAGCGAGGAGAAACGTCTGCCGTTCGCAGGCTAGCAAAATACCCCTGTCACAGGATTTATGTACTTAAGCTTACGTAAATCCTGTGACAGGGGGTATTTTGCTAGCCTGCGAACGGCAGACGTTTACATGACGACCGAATTGACTCTGGTTTTTACGATTGAATAAAGAAAGTTCTAGCACCGATTTGTGTGTCTCCTAATATTTTAGTTGTTTATAATCTTTCTTTGCGTTCATGCATTTTAATTAACTGACAGCTGGCGATGACTTTAGAATACAATTTTACTCTTCAAATTCATTGTGAGCACCCTTAGCTACTGTTTGACTATTCCGCATGAATTGGCTAATTTCCATATTTTAGAATTCAGCCTCAAACAATTTGAGGCTCTAGGGAAAAATCATCTCCAGACAATTAAACCTTTGAATGCATTTTGCATTAGGCAGGTGCACCCAACGAGAATATAGTTTAAAACCACTTAAGCATACATGTAGCGTTGTTGAACGTATTTTAGTATTTAAACGGTAGATATAGGCATATTTTTATCCCCTAAAAATTTTTCATCTGTTTGGATTTCCTAGCTGAAAGTCTAGTGATCCAAAAATTATAGGGATCGAAACTTAACTTTTTGAAAACTTCAGCCAGAAAAAAAGGCTCCCAAAAATTCTAGGTGACTTTTCTAGGGTAAAAATCTGTTAAAAATGGGCAATTATACCATTTTTAAGATGTGCAAAAATTCTAGGAGAGGCAGGCAAGCAAGAAAGTTTACAACAAATGTTCCGAAAATTGTAGATCTTAAATCATCTTCTGAACAGATATTTTCCGAAAATTGATGTTGGGTGCCCCTGATTAGGCAACCACTCAACTGAAAAATAAGCATGTCTTTTACCTGTCCCTTGGGAGTATGTGATATATTCACCTGGTACCCTGCCCTGTGCCCTCTCGTTCAAGGTAATTAACCCTTACTTATGAAACACGACAATGGAAGATCTCTCTCTTCTGCGTGCAGAGGCTCCCACTGGGTATCCCAATAAAAATAGCTATTAATCGAAAAATATGAAAGTGTATGGTAGACAATAAAAATGGGAAGTGGGGAAAGGCAGTCAATTTATGTGGAATAGTCCACCATGCAGTAGTTTTATAAGAAAGAGATGAGTGACTCAGAGGAAGAAGTATTCTTAACGTTAAGGCAGAACAGTTTTGGAGGCTCTTTTGGGGCATCCACCCTGACAGAGTTTTTGTGTCAGTCGTCTGATGACAAGTCACATTGAAAACTAAGACAGTCACTGATGTAACTTGCAGTTTGACATTGGAGGTGTTGAGTCAAATTTGTTTAAAAGTAAGGTAACGAGGCATGTGACACAAATTCCTCGCGTGAAGTACATTTGACAAATGCTAACGAAGCAAATGAGGTCCAAGAAAATGCAGCAAGTCCATTAGAACCGTAACTCAAAATTCTGACTTGTTTTGTTTCACTGGGTAGGTTAAATATGTTGGGAAGATTCAGAGCAGGGTAATATGATGAGAGGAATAC